ATCATTGTACAAAGAGCATAGATGTCATCCCATCAAAAACTTGATCCTTCCAATTGTGCAAATTCCGTTATTTTTCTGTAACGCTTTGACGTTAAGACATATGGCGAGAGAGCGAGCAGCAGAGTTGGGATTTACCGCTGGTGGGGTGGCATGGTTCACTGATCTATCGGCCACCGACTCTACTTTGGTTTTACCTATTGTGATCGGAGTCGTAGGTTTGGTCAATGGCGAAGTAAGTGTGGTCTTGTCGATAGCATAGTCAAAAGTTATTTCTTACTATTGCAATCGAACCGCTGCATAATGAGTTGAACCCCTTGCTAGGTATCATCGCTTCTCAGACCTTCGAATAATTCGCATCGATCAAAATGGAGTAAATACTTTATCTATTTCTATCGCGGAATGTGTGTTCTGTCTGTGCCCATCGCTGCACAAGCTCCAACAGTAAGTAACATGTACAGTGTCTTGTAATTAGAACCGTTTTTTATGACGCTAATCGTATATTAAATATAATTAGGCTATTTGTGTATATTGGTTGACGTCAAGTACGTACAGTTTAGTTCAAAGTATAGTGTTCTCAATACCGAGTGTTAGGAAGAAATTGAACTTTCCAACATAAATAGAAAAAAGATGGGTATTGCAAACTGGCAGCATGATACCTGTCTTGAATACGTTGTACATTACGACACACCGAAAATGTCATATATAGAAATAAACAATACTCCAGGACATGATCACGAATAACCCTTTGCACATGCTGCCCAGACCGCAAACTAAAGCGTCCACGTCTCCCGTACACCCAGGTATTATAATTTTGCTTTGAACAATCTCGTATCGACATCCTCACCAACTTCGCCCAGAATATGTCTCCTCAAGTAAGCATTGAGAAACATTCCATTTGGATCTAATTCGTGCATCAGTTTCTTAAAGTCGTTAAACTTGGGATAACATTTCTCAAGCTCTAATACCGACATTGTGTGTGCCTGTTGTGAAGAGTAGTTGTAATTGATAAAAAGAAAGGCCTTTTTCAATAATCGTAAACGGCTGCAGCGAAATAGTATATTAATACTGCCTTTCCAACAGCAGCTTCATTATTAATCCTATTGTCATTATTATTCGTTTCGCTTACCTTTGCCCAATGAGGACGACCACCCAAGGACCTCATAATCTGCTCATACGCCTTCCAATATTCCTTGTAAGGGACGGCTACTCTATACGGTCTATAATAAATGAAATCATGCACATTAATTATCAGGTTGGAAAACACTTTTGATTCATCCAGACTTGAGAAAGAAAATACTCACCTGTACATTATAATACCTATATAACAAACTTTGCATCCATACGAAGGACTCAACCAAATATCGTCTTTATCGACGAACCTAACCTCGACCGGAAAATGTACAAACGAATTCGTCTCTTTGGTCCACTGATTGATTTTTCTCAGTGCCTCTGGAGTTTTTTCCCATGGTATCGCCCATTCGTTGACATACTGCGGGAAGAGACAATCGATATTAAAGACCTTGTACGAATCATCGATGATGCAAGTGGGCGTTGAATACTTGATCTTGAACATGTGTCGTGCAAGCCTCGGAATAGTCGATGGGCGGAGGCGCGTCAGGTAGAGGAGAAATTGGTAGAGGTGGTAACCTAATAAGGTTTCTCGAATGTAGCCAATGGTCGATGAGTTTGGTTCCTGGATTGATTGACAAGATAGCGTGAATAATAACGCAGACAACAGTACGGAAACCCACTCCACGCATAGCATGAGTAACGCACATATCAACGAATAGAATAATAAATACCTTTATCGTTCTGTTCGCCTTCCATAAGACACAATCGTCGGTATGAGGAAACCACCAGAATCTTACGTGCTCGGCGGAATGAACGACATGATCCAAATTGTTTAGAATTTCATCAAACTTTGCCGGAGTCTGAATGGCTTCTAGCCTGAAAGCGGGCTCACATTTTAAAGTAATTCGTATTATTATACCGAGAGCACCCAAATTGCAGAGAGCTGCTTTGAAAATGTCGGGATTCGTTTTTTCAGAACAAGTTAATGTCCCCCTAGTTGCCGTTATCAATGTCAGTTCAGTCACCTAGATAAAGAATGAACAGAATTAACGTTAGCCGTGATACTGGAAAATGCGCGTGCGCGCGCGCACAGCTCTGTTCACAGTATATCGTCACTACTACCTGTGTTGAAATGTTGCCAAAATTAATTCCAGTTCCATGAGTGGCGGTGCTGATAGCACCGGCAAGGCTCTGATCAGAGATAGAACCGATATTACTCATTGCAAGGCCATTCTTCCATAATTCTTGGTTTAATTGGTTTAAACTTATTCCGGCTTGAACGCTAACTGTCTTTTCTTCCCGATTGATCTATAAAGCGCAACAAGGGGGAAAAAATTTTTTTAATACAAACATTGATAACAAATAATAATACCGAAATTACCATTGAACGAATGTAAAGTAAGCACCTCCAATACACGATTGAGATTATCCAGATTGATCATGAAATCCTTTGTACAAGCAAGATCGGATGGAGAATGTCCAGCTCCAATAACCTTAATAGACTTGTTCTTGGCTTTAGCAAAGATTACAATCTAGACGTTAACGAGTTAAATAACGTTTCATTCATCTGCAATATTCAATGAGCACAGGACATGAATAGGAAAAAAAGTGGTGAGAGGGGACAACAAAAAAATTTGTGAATCACACCTTTTCGACCTCATCTTCAGTCTCGGGTGTAAAATATAACTCTGGTTCGCATATGAAAGTATGAGCCCAGTTCTCAAAGACATGGTATCTGCTTGAAATTTTCTTTAGTTGCGGATCCATCTTTCAAGCAACATACACACAGTACGCAAAACAATAGTGACATTAGTCAGATTTTTGTCACATGTTGAACCTGATCATCGTACAGAAATATGAGGTGGGGGAAAGATACCTCACTATTACACCTCTGGTGATAGTAAATAATTGATAACTAGTACATATATGGAACCAGGAACCAAGTCACCACAATGCTTCTTACCAGTAATTAACATATGATCGCATGACGTTATTATTTCGCAAACATGACATCATCTTATTCATAGTTACATATCACATGACGATATAAAAATCCATTTGCTATATATATTGTGGGTTGTTGGCTGGAACGTCAGGTCGTGAAAAGAAAAATGAGTTCCAATACGCACAAGTTGTCACAACATTCCAATAATCTCGAGAAAGAGAATCTGCCAACAGATCGAGACCATACACAAAATGATGATTCTCATCATAAAATAGTAACAACTGTCAAAGAAAAGCTATCGGATGCTGTTCACACGACAGCTCAGAAACTTAATCTTGAACCACGTGAGCGACATCCGGAAGCATATCATCAAGATGGAAAGACCAATCCAGAGTGATTTTGAACAACGGTGAGTAGAGAAGAAAGAAATAATCAAAAAGTTCAAATTTCGATTATCAAATTTCTAAACTAATAGAGTTTCCTTTATTAAATGAAGTCTAAAATGGATTCACAAAAAAAGAATATCATAATTTAAACCTTATTTAACGCTTGTGACCAGAGATAATCAGTTGAAAGTTCAATGAACAATAACATATGGAATGATAGGGGGAGTGTGAACAAACGCACATTTTCACTGTCACACCCTTTTCATTCATTAGGATCCATATATAGTTTCCTTTATTTTCTGAAATCTATCCATATTTGAATTATCGGCATGAAAAAAAAAACCTTATTGACAGAACAAAGGCTACATATACAGCCAAGCCTCATTGTACAATAAAGCAAACATGAAAATTATACACGAAATCACAGTGAATTGACGATAAGACGTTTGAGAGGAATATTAATATGATAAGATAAAAAGCATATTCCAACCATATCAAATGACAAAATTTGCGCAACAAGAATGAATGCAAGTCCGAATTTCATGATAAATAAATCTGTAAACCCCGCAGCCTTTGTATCAGCTCACTATCAGTTTTTTTTTAATAATAAGTGTGGCGCAAGTTATTTGTTTGTTGAGAGATGTGTTTAAAAATGTACGACGAAACTTTATCTTTGTCAACATTAATTCAGCAAAGATCAAACGTTCTCATGATTTTTCATTCTGTCACACTGTCATCCAAGCCCCTACATTCATTTTGCATAGCAATGATTCTTTAAGGCATAGCATAACACTGAGAATCATAGTCGTCTTATTGCTTTATTCGTTCAAACACGTTGGAGAGTTTGGAATTATATAAAGGCTGACTAGCCTAATATTAATTTACAGAAAACTTTGTCACCCTTCTCAAAATCTATTTCTCACATTTTTAATTAATCACAACGCCAGCCACCTCAGGCTTTGTGTGTATTGTATCTATGTCTTAACATCAAGACTATATACGTACCATAATACCTTCTCACATTCCGACTCTAAGTGTTTACAACAATAATATATCTACATTATCATATTTACAGGTAACTACGCTACTTCTTAATAGTTGCCAAGAAGGAAGGCGAATATTAACAGTTGATCGTCTACATTTAAATCATCAGTTGCCCACTCCGGATCCGTTTGTTGTTCCGTCGGTTGAGGGTTGTCTGTCATCATTCGTTCCATTTTCGGATGGTTTTTTCTTGTCCACAAGGGAATACTCTGATCGCCCACGAAACCAAAACCAAGAAAGTGCTGCTACACCAACCAGAGATATAACGGGTATAGCAATTTTCCAAGATTTAGACATTGGTTTAGTGGTGGTGGTATTATTATTGTTAACACCACCAGCAACAATTGAAGCTTGAGGCACGGTCACAGTCACAGTCACATTCACACTGAGAAGAGATAACCAAAATAAGAATTAAGAAGACTATATCAGAAGCAACAGTAAATCAATATTAATTACTTAATAAACATTGTCCCTGGGTATTCAGTTTCTCTGACAGTTGTTATGACTGTCATTGTGCTTGCTGGGATTGCCGGCGTAAGAGAAGGAGGAGGAGCATCTTGATATGTTGGACCTGGAGAGTCACCATCATTACCAGGATTAGCACCGGGAGGATTGGCGCTGGGAGGATTAGCGCCGGGAGGGTTTGCGCTGGGAGGATTAGCGCCGGGAGGGTTTGCGCTGGGAGGATTAGCGCTGGGAGGGTTTGCGCTGGGAGGATTAGCGCTGGTAGGATTAGCGCCGGGAGGGTTTGCAGCAGGAGGAGGATAGAGCGTGGGAGCAGAACGAGGAAGACTGGGGCTACCCGTCGAGCCAGGTATATCTCTAAAAGATTAACAATATTCATTTTCATTAGACAGTACGTTAATTGATAGAAAATGGTTATTAGATAAATTAACCGTACAAGTCAGTAGTCGTTGTGATTGGAATAGCATGTGCACCAAAATGTAGAGCAAAAACCAAAAAAGCCAACACGATCGTAATGTGGATGTGAATCATTGTTATTATTATTATGTGCAAAAAAGATGCGCGTTACGATTGTATTTTTATATATAGATGATTTGGCTTTGGTTACGCAAACCTTGCTTGTCACACTAGATGCCAAGCCTATGACGTCTGAGAGTTACTATTATGTGTTGTGGTCGCTCATTTCCCTGTATACTATTGATACTAAGCCACTCAAGTCATGCAATGGCTGTGACAAGGCAGTGTCGAAGAGTTACGTTTATTTAAAGGCCTATTCTATTTCCCAAACCGTCAGAATGATCCTGTCCTTAACACATCTAATTAGCAACCTCTGAAATAAATTTTGCGCATCTCGTATTTACAATTTAACATCAAAGTAGGAAGAAGGGAGACAGATAAAATGTGCACAGATGATTTGTAAGCGGGTAATGGGGGTAGTCGTTACGTTCTACGAACCATATGCAAACAGGTGATATGTATAAAGAATGTCAACGTATCATTATGACCTGAGAACGCACAGACGAAAATCATATATATGCGAACACTCATATTCGTATTACTAATAATGATTTACGCTGTTTTTTCAAATTATAAACCCGCCAATTAAAGTTAGAGATACGTAAGTAGATATAAACAAAAAGTTTCGGACAGACAAGATAGTAATGACATATGACACTCAAACATATTTGGTATTTATTTATCAGAACTTTTTTAGCAACAGTTACAGTGAACCCTCCATTCTCGGAGCGTGCGATGCATGAATAGAACGGCAACATTTTATTGGTTGCACGTGACTTTAGCAAAATTTATTTAATTGTAATAGTAAAATAAACATTACTGACCTGTCATTAAAATGATGACTCTTACAAAGACGATAAAAATTCAAGTATCTATACTAGCAACGACAAAGATGACTTCTTATTAACAACGACGTTAATAAAGACTTTTAAATTTTTAATAAGTTCGACATTATTACAAATCAAATAACGATTTCAGTTAATTCAAGATGGTGACTATCGCGAGGAACTTAATTCAAGATGGTGACAAAGATAACTTTTACTATTAACAAAGACATAATAAATTTCGTGATTGATTCAGGCATGACGACAAAAACAACTTCTTAACAAAGACATTGAATAGTGTTTCTGTTCTCTATTCCTTATCGATACATAAAGACGAAATAGTAGATAACATCTAATTATGTTTCGTTTAAAGATGTCTTTCCGTAACAACGCATATTAATATTAATATATAACACGTATTATCGTTAACATGAATACAAAGGTTTGTTCTTTAATAGACTGATTGTCATAACATTGACAATTTCAAATTCCACCTTACGTATGAGAACAAAATAATCGAATGTTATGTGGAGGCAGTTGTCGAATTCATCCAAAGCCCAATTATCAGAGTGGGTAAAGTGTAGCTGCTTGCTGCCGGGTAGCTGTGGATTATTATTTAGAACGCAGAAATAATTATTTGGGTTATAACAAAACGACGTACTAGTGAACCGCGTACGCAAGCTATTCCGGAGTACATGAAACTTTGGGAATATAGCCGATTCCACTTGGTGACGAGAGAAAATAAATTGGTGGGTCAGCTAAATTAGTTGTAATGAGAACAGGAAAAATAGGGTTAAATCTCGATCGTAAGCTTGCGTGAAGATTACGCGTCGAAACAATGCCTTTTTTATTTACCAGTAGAACGACAGCGTCACCTCTAAATAACTCATAATACATTAGCGAAAGGAAATGAGTTGTTACGTAGTGCATTCATTGCAGAAATCAATATCGGCTACATATCAAGAAACATTAACTTTTGTTGATAAAAGTATCAAAGAAAACTTGCACTCTCACAGGTAAAGAACACGATTGTAAGAGGAAAACATTACTCCGCTTTGGCACTTAATGTCATCGATTATGCATGCGACTGCATAATGTTTTTTTTAGTTCCGAATAAAAAACTCCTGATTTGTATTCTGTTTTACTATCTCATCCATTTGTTTTCCCATCGGGGAACTTCCAGGTTTAATCATAGGACATAGGATTTCTGCTTAGCCTTCCTTTATTTTTGCAAGCTGTTTTACAAGACTTGGTGTGAAAAAAAAAGTTCGAATCAAAAAGACATCCAATATCAACGTGTGTTTTTTACATTAGCAGAATGTGGACCAAAACTTTACTCGAAATTTTTGTGCGTAAAACTATACTCAATCACGGATTTTGTTATCAGTGCGTTCATAATTGCTAACAAGAGCAAACTGACTGTTGCATTAATCTACATCAGTAGAGACAACTCGTACATATAAACAAGATAAATTTTATATTCGCAATGCAATTAATAGTAAAGTAAAATAATTAAAAAGGTTTTGGAAACATAACAGATGGATGAAGATCGAGTGATGCGTCAAGAACCACATCATATGAGCCGTTAGCAGAGCTCAATTTGCTTTACTTGTTCAATAATTTGTCAACGTTAGTCTATATGTTATGCCGTAAGTAGTGCACATAAGTATGTACTTATTGAAATTTCAATATTAGCTTAACATGTCAAAATTTTAATATACGTTTTGCAACATCATAAAGAATTTCCATCTTGCTTATTCACATTTATTACAATACTAGTTAATCTAGATATTGATCAACAACCCTAAATGATAAAAGCATAAGTAGCATGTTTAGTTATTCCTATATTCTACTGTATTATTTGCAATATAGTTGGCTTGGAACAATCTGAAAATGGCTTCTCCGATGTACTAACCAACCTTCTTATTGCATTTTTGTTCTAAATATTATACAGATAAGCTTTCAGAATTTCAGTTTAATAATTACTGTTAAATTGTGTTTATCAGAAGGTAAACAAATGCAGATGTTACTTTTCGCGTATGCAAATTTCGATAATAAAAAATATAAATTCTGTCAGGATAACGAATGTTAGTCTTCCCATAACTGCGTAATTTACTGACAAACTACCGCAAAGCACTGACTAAACCCAACCTCCCTCCCCATGTATAGTGCCCTCCAGCACTTTATGCCGAAAAAATTGTAAAGACCCGGGTATTATGCAAATCAACCATTGTATTATTATGTAATTCAAATAGATATATTATTTATACAATGTGTTGCGAAAAAAATTGCGCACAAATAAACTTGTATATCTCAATAATTACCAATAAAGACGAATAAAGTGAACTTATGCGAAGCTTATAAACTATTTTATTAATTAAGTATAAGAATCTTAATACGAAATTCTATCCCAATACTAGTTTACAGCGATTTTTTTCATAGATCCAATCTCGCCAATATCTTTGCCACATTATTTTAACAATCTGCCACATATTCTCGATAGAGTTTACCATTACATAAATGTTGTTTTGGGATTAAAAAATCTTTTGCAACGCTGTGAAGTGTGATTAGGATCATTATCTTGTTGCAGATGCTATCTTCTACCATACAACTGTTTGCCAAACGGAAGAAGCTGGGTTTCCAAAGTATTTACACAAAAGGACACCTGTAAAGCAAAACAAGGACTTTTTGCCGTTTATCGACATTTCACCCTAAGCCATTGCTTGTCGTAATTTCGGTAATTTTTTAATCGGCCTTTCTCCATTCTTATACTATTGTGCTATTTATACGAAACGAATTCAAAGGCCGTTTTATCTTTGAAAATAGTATAATTCCAGTTATTATTCAAGTGAGGGTTGTGTCCATGCTTTTCGGCATCAATATGATTACTGGTAAGCATTTGGGTAGCAAGTGGTATGGCGATTTTGTATCCCATTTTCTTCATGTGTAGCCAAATATTAATACGTGAAATAAATACGCTACAAGTTTCTTGAATTTCAATTGCACGTTGACGAGTTGTCATGGTCCGATATATTCGTGTAACATTTGGCGAACGACCATTACCACTTTTATGTTTGATGATCTTTGTTGTTTCGAGTTTTTTAAGATTACGTTAAACGGTTCGAAGGAAAATCGGTGTAGAACGAATTTCATTTAGTCAACAATGTAAAATTGTCTGACACAGTGCTCCAAACTTTAGCGTTAATTATGTTGATAAGGTTTAAATAACCAAGAGAAAAAGTCTTTACTTTTGCAAATGTAATTAATGACAAGTGATAAACTTATATAGAAACAGACGTGTAAAATCTTTTAACTCACATGCAATTTTCTTTTTGCAACGTGCTGTATATGAGAATGACACATACTAATACAACATGTTATAGAGACAAATTGTCCTTTTATCGTCAACAAACGTTTTTGCCACCAAAATTTTTGTAGAATTTATTAAGACATTGAATGGATTTTACCTTGTACAAAAATACGTGTATCCGCACCAGTCATTCTCATGATTTCCAATGTATCTTCGTCTATATTGTTGCCATGTAGTCGTCCAGTTAATGCTGATAAATAATAGTAATAAATAACAATAATAATAAGTAATAATACGTGGGGTGGTTGAAAGTGCCGGTTTCACTTAAAAGTAAAGACAAGTATTCGAAGCTTGAGCTTCTGAGGAACAAGTGAAAAAAAAGTTGG